ACTTGACTATCTCCAGAGATGCAAAGGCTAGAGCCACACTGAAACTTTGTGCTGCTCTTGGGCTGTTTTTTAGGTGACCCACTACATTTGCCATCATCCATAACATCCTCACAGCTCAGCAGAGTTCTATTCAATTTTTAATACACTGTCTTTTTCGGTGGCAGAGAGCCCCTTTTGCTAGATATCAGCCCCCGAGGCATGAATTATATATCTATAAATACACTCATAAAGCAAAAAGCAGGGCAGCCTTCAGGGCTAAAATAGACCTTTTATATCCCTAGTGATCTCTCTAGTTTAAAGAAAAGCACAATCTTGTCTAAAATGTATATATTCTTGATTTTAAAATGCCAACTTTAAGAATACAGATAGTTCTTATTCTAAACCAAAGAAGAATTCTGAGAATGGCTTAAGAATCTCTGATTTGTGCGTACTCTAGGTCTTGTATCACTTTACCGGTAACCTTTATGATTTTTGACTTACTGATTCTGTGAATACTTTGTGAGCCTACACACCTGGCTGACTCTATAGTCTTTGAATATTGAGAACTAATTACTATTGGCTGCTACAATATTTCCTGGGGTAGACACCAGCATGTAGATGTCCAAGTACCTTATAGAAATGCATTTTAAGGCAGGTGCATTATTCTCCTGCTGTCTTAAATACCAAGAAGGCCATGGCAGGAGGTTCATTTAAGTCCCAGGAGAAAAGGAGGGAAGAGAGAGGAAAGGAAAGGGGAGGAAGAGAAGGAACGGGAGAGGAGGGAAAAGGAAGAGAGGGGAGGGAGATAGAAGAGAAGGGAGAGGAGAAGAAACAATCAGAGAGGGAAAGAAAGGCAAGGGGAGGAGAGAGAAGGAGAAGGAAAGTGAGTGGAGGGGAGAAGACAGAGGAGAGGGGAAAGGGAAAGGAGAGGGGAGGGAAGAAGAGAGGAGAAGGGAGGGAAAATGGGTGGAGGAGACAGGATGGGAGGGAGCAAAGGGGAGGGGAGAGGAAAAGAAGAGAGGAAAGGAGAGGGAAGAGGGGAGAGGAGGAGAGAAGAAGGGGAAGGAAGAGGAGCAGAGGGGAGGGAAAGTGAAGGGAAGGGAAGGGAGGGGACAAAAGAGAAGGGGAGAGAAGGGAGGGAAGAGGAGAAGAGGGGAGAAGAGAGGAGAGGAGGGACAGGGCAGGACTAGGTGAGCCAAGGCAGGGCAAAGTGAGGAGAAGGAAGGGGAGAGAAAGTGAGGGGAGAGGAGGAGAGAAAGAGTACTTACATAGAATCTATGCACATGTTCCTTATCCTTTAAATGTTCTCTAGATTACCTGTAACAACTAATAGGATGTATATGCAGTTTACACAGCATTGCTTACAAATAACAAGGAAAATTGTGTACATATTTAAGCACAGATACACTTTGTTTAATATTCTATCCACTGTTGCTTGAACCCTTATATATGAAACCCATGACATAGAAGGCTGAGTGTACACTCGATCATCCTGAATCCTAGAGAATTCCAAATTAAAATGATCTACTTCAACTCAGTTTTCATATAGTTATCTAAAAATTTCCCCCTGTTTTACCATCTCCTTTATAGTAATAATCCCTGTATTCTAGGTAAAGTTTATTTTAAACTAGAGGAACGCTTTCAACTCTTGGAGATGCCAAGAAAGGAGAGTTCCTGAAGCATCAAGAATTCCAAGGATTCAAGACTGTCATAATTTAGGCTCAACTTTTCCCAATAGAGGGCATTGTTTATCTTTTTAAGAATCATTCATCAGGATTAGTATTTTTTAATGTCAATATAAAATGGAGAATTCATGCTTTTGACAGATTTTAGTATATAATTTTTTGGTACCAGTTCTGGGCTTGAACTCAGGGCCTAGGCACTATCCCTGAGCATTCTTGCTCAAGGCTGCACTCTACCACTTGAGCCACAGATGCACTTCCAACTTTTTGGTGGTTAATTGGAGATACAAGTCTCATGGACTTTCGTGCCTGGGCTGACTTTGAACCATGATCCTCAGAGCTCAACTTCATGAGTAGCAAAGATTACAGGTGTGAGGCACCAACACCTAGATCAGTATAGAAGCCTTTTAGAATCTCTCTACAAATTATTAGACTGCAGAACCTTCTTTCTGTAACTTTCTGAAAAGATAGTTTTATTTCGTTTGTAAATTCATTGAAATGCTTACACCAGGCTGTTCAATGCTTAGGATTACCAAAGGAAAGGAGAAAAGGGACTTGTTCCTGGATGTTGTAGATTTTAAGCAAGGAGGACACTGGGAAGCTTTAGAAAATATGCAAGGAAAAAAGGCAAATTAAAGACTCCATTTGGGTGTTACAGATGGTACACTAAGACTGCAAGTGAACACCACTTTGTAATCACAGAGACAGCGATCTTAATCTCACTTAAAGGGAATGCAGCTTCTACCCAGCAATTTGTGTTTGTATTTGTATTATTTTTTGGTAAGGCTTTTGCCTCTCCCTCAAAATCAGTTTAGTCTCATCCTTTAATCCAGTTTCCTCTTTGCTTACTCCAGTTGGAATACATTTTTGTCATTATCATACAGAACAAACAACTGTGAGGTTTAAAAGCCAAGAGAGAACTCACATGCCCAACCTTTGTTCTTGTAAGCTGGATAAGAAATCTCTAGAGAACCTCCACACAGATTCTATTGGCCCTCACCTCTCTGTCTTTTTGCTGCTGGTCTCTCAGACACTTCCCTGTTTTTACTTTCAATGAACCACTCTTTGCTCCCCAGCCCCTTTCTGGTAGGGGAATAAGGAAAATGGCTGGGGTTCGTTTTAGGACTTGCTTACCTTTAGGGAACTGTGCTCCAAATCCCATTTATAAAACCAAGCCAAAGTGTGTGAATTATGCATTAACTCAGTCGTGAGGTATATGAATTATATATGTTCACAATGAAAAATAGGCATGCTGGTCCAGTAAAGTAAGTCCAATGCTCTGGCAATGCTATAAAGATCATTTTGTTCAGTCCCTTCACACTCTTATCCCTAGAAAAGATGCTTGAGCTCTGAGTAGAGACCACAGGCCATCTTAAGATTCTCAGAAAGGTTTTTGTTTTACTTCCCCACATATAATACAATTATTATGTAAGCTACAGATAACAGTAAAAATTCTGTTGTCCTTTCCCTTACAAATGATACACATTATACTCTAGCATCTTTCTGAGTAATACATAGGCACCAGATAACAATATAATTCTGTTATCCTTTTCCTATGAGATGATGCACATTACACACATTATCATCTTTCTGAGTAGCACAATGTCATTGTCTAAATAGGAAGGCAAGATATGTACTTGTGATATGAACACAAGGGGTCTGCTCCAGTGCTTTGGAGGCTTTCTCCTCAGGAAGTTCCTCTCTTAGTGCAGCAGAAGAATGAACAATTTACATGCAATGGTTCCATCTGAGCTGCAGGAAATAACCCAAGTTTATATGGTATGGTTCGTTGAGTGAGAGTTCTAAGAATGAATCTTTACAGGAAGAATTCTAGAAGACTCTGTAGGTTGAAAGTTTTGCCCGTTAGAATGTCCCTAGAACTCTGCAGTATTGAGCCACTGCTAAATCTTGGCAGCTTTTGTCATTGACACAGGAGAACATCTTAGCCACTGTCAGGTACCTGATGCTCAGACACTTGGCATTTCTTCACAATAATAAATGCATTGCCAGGGACAGAACACTGGCAAGGGCATTTATACTAGTGAAGAGCTTAGAGCCCCAACTCAGGAAGAGGATTTCACCAGTATCCATAATAGCGTCTCAATATCCCAACTAGGGAGGGAAATATCATGACATTCCTGGTAGAGAATTGTTGGAATTTTTTAAAGTTTAAGTTGGATTTTTTTAATTATTATTCTGGAGACTATTCAGTGAAGGGATGTGAACTATGATTTCCTGAGAACCTCTGCTTGGAAAATAACATTGTAAAAAGACACAAAAATACCTTGATTCTCTTGCTTGACATAGGTGAAGAATCTTGGCCTTATATTTAAGTGAAAAGTAACCTTTGTAGAATATTTTTTGGCACCTATGATGCACAAGGCATTGTGATTTCAGGAACTATTTTGAACCTCGTTTCTTGACTCAGCTTATATGTTTATAAATGCATTCATGAGAATCTGTAGATAAACCTATTTGTGTTTGCCACTTTAGTAAAGAATCACTGCCTTAAAAACTTCTTTTCTAAGTCAACATTTCTGAATCGATGATGTCAGTTTTCAGCAATTCATGGATTTATCTAATTACATATAGCATAAAAGCAGTGCATAAAAACAGATTAGATACTACAAGGCAAGTTGCCACTTAATAAATAGGGTAAATTCTGGAAAAGCATAATCAAATATATGGATGGGTATTTTCAGATTTTTAGAAGCCCACATCACTTAGCTCATGCTAAATGAAGACTGCAATCAAGGAATATAGTAATTCTTTTGTCTTCTTTTTTTTTCTGTTTGCAAAAAGAAGTATAAAATCAATGTGATAACAAGAAAATACTACAGTCTTTTGTATGGTTTGATCTTGATTTGGTCATAGAATATCTGTGAAACAAATTAATAGGAACCCATGAAGGTAACAAGGAATGGACATTCCCAAATCCACAAACTAAACGCACAACACATGTATTGCATTCACACACACACACACATCACTTTGATAGCATCTGTGAGGGTATAACTGATCGAAAGACATTATCTCGTAAGCACGTCCTGGAAGCAGCATATTTGAACTCCGTCTAAATAATTACTTGAGAGTACCTTTAGCAGTCCAATCCCCGCTCCCATTCTAAGGATTCCAAGTTTTTGAGTGGGCAGAGGCTTCTCAGAGGCACTAAATCAGCCTCAAATGAGAAGGTCACAACCAAAACTATCCCTACGTGGATCCAGGTGGTTGTATTAGGATTTCAGAGCTGTAAGGTACGAAGTGCATTCATCAAGAGTGTCTGTGGATCGGTCTCAGCACCTGTACTAATTGTGTTTTTCTTTTTCTTTTCCATCCCAGGAGGTGAATTAGTTCTCCCTCTTCTTGTAGAAGACCCTTTAGCTACCCCTGCTATTGCTACTCGTGTGCCTTCCATTACACTCCCCCCTACCTTCCGCCCCCTCCTCACCATTATTGAGACCACCAAAGATTCCCTGTCCATGACCTCTGAGGCGGGGTTACCTTGCTTGTCGGACCAAGGCAGCGATGGTTGTGATGATGATGGCTTGGTGATATCTGGGTATGGCTCAGGGGAAACCTTTGACTCTAACCTGCCCCCTACTGATGATGAAGATTTTTACACCACCTTCTCCTTGGTAACAGATAAGAGTCTTTCCACTTCAATCTTCGAAGGTGGCTACAAAGCACATGCGCCCAAGTGGGAATCCAAGGACTTTAGACCTAACAAAGTCTCGGAAACTAGTAGGACTACTACCACATCTTTGTCCCCTGAGCTGATCCGCTTCACAGCTTCCTCCTCGTCTGGGATGGTGCCCAAATTGCCAGCTGGCAAAATGAATAACCGTGATCTCAAACCCCAGCCTGATATAGTCTTGCTTCCGTTGCCCACTGCCTATGAGCTAGACAGCACCAAACTGAAGAGCCCACTAATTACTTCCCCCATGTTCCGTAATGTGCCCACAGCAAACCCCACGGAGCCGGGAATCAGACGGGTCCCGGGGGCCTCAGAGGTGATCCGGGAGTCGAGCAGTACAACAGGGATGGTCGTCGGCATTGTGGCTGCTGCCGCCCTCTGCATCTTGATCCTCCTGTACGCCATGTACAAGTACAGGAACAGGGACGAGGGGTCCTACCAAGTGGACGAGACGCGTAACTACATCAGCAACTCGGCCCAGAGCAATGGCACTCTCATGAAGGAGAAGCAGGCCAGCTCCAAGAGCGGCCACAAGAAACAGAAAAACAAGGACAAAGAATACTACGTGTAAACCGTGCTAACACTGATCACACAGAATTATTTATTTATACACAGACGAATCCTTGGACAATGAAAGATAACACAGTGTCGGAACTGTCTCAACTGTTGAGATGGGGTACATAGACCATGACTATGGTGGGAAAACCATTTTTAAAAGGACACACACACACACATACACACACACACACACACACACACACACAGATGTAGCTATCTATCTCTACCGCTCAGCCATAGCTGTGATTGCCCAACCATGGCTCTGAGACAGAAAAATTCTTACTGCTCTGCTGTAACATAAAACACACACACGTTTGTGCCCTGGAGCAAGCCTTAGTGACCCCACCGCGTCCTTGAACTTGAAGGCTTCCGTCTCTGCAGGACCTTTGCAAAAGGTAGAAGACTCCATGACTTACTTGTTCCATAACTCCAAGTGAGTCTGTAATGATGTTTGTGAAGCTTGACTGTAACGATGTATTTTTTTTCTGTTTAATTATGTAAAAAACAAAAACAAAAAATGTTTAAAAACAGCAAAAAAATAAGATAAACAAAAACAAAACAGAACAAAAAAATTCTTACCTGGTTCTGGCCAGTCTGTGTGTAACTTTTCAAGATCTGAGGGGAAAATAGCTATTGGGTTTTTGTTTATTTTTGTTTTTGACAGTGACTCGACATAAGAAGAAGAGAAAAACAAAACTCAGAAAACAAAAAGTATGAGAGACTTTTGCCATATGAACTCACAAGCTACCATGGTGTTCACTCTCCATTTCAGGTGTGGTGTCTCTAGAATCTGTTGTTTGTTTCCAACAGAATGCTTTGATGAACACATAGCAAAACCCATGTGATAGATGACAATATTGATTTGCAAAGCTGGTCCCCCCAGAATCTAATTTCAGAATTTGTCACCCAAACCCTGAACAGCTGGATTTGGGGCTCGTTTTATCAAGGCTATTGGCTTTCCTTCACAATATTGTTCCTGTCTGTTAACCCAAATTGTAAGAATGGGCAAACTCCAAACCTTAAACAAAGCCTTTCCAAGGGAAAGGAAGAAGGGGGTAGGCTGGATTGTAACTGATTGAAGTGCATGCAAGTATAAAAATAAAAGAGAAAAAGACTACTAAAGTCTGTTGAATAATCAAAACAGATATGGAAGTTCAACTTGTGATAGAACCACAAAAGGTCATGAAGCCAAATATGACACGACAAAAAAACAAAAGCGTGCTTTCCCTGCCCCCACCATGATAATGGTTTTCATAGTGATTTTAATTTTGTGGCCCGATGTGGATAACTCTCTCTCAGTCTTTCTCTCCATTTGCTCACTCCTCTCTCACCCATCGTTTTTTAAAAACAAGTAAATAAATGAATAAAGCTGCTGTGACACACAAAAAGGAATTTAATAGTATAATATATATAAATAAATATATATACAGATATATTTATCATGGTATGTTTGATGGGTGACTGACACAGAAATCTGTTAAAGTCTTGAAGTGGAATGAGAATGTTATTTTAAAAGAAAATAACAAAACAACAAAAAAGTAAACCTTAAAATGTGAAGAAAGTGTGAGTTTTAGTTTTGTCACAGTTAACTGTGTCAAAGAGAATTTAAAGAAAAAAATCTTCTCAGATTTTGTTTACATATTTTACTACATTTTTGCTGGTCAAATTCTTTAGCCACCTATGTACATACTGCTTTAAGAACTGTTATTTCCTTTCTACTTGTTCATTTCTGTTTGTTTGGTTCATATTCCAGTTGTCTTTTTCTTTGCTGTTTTGTAAAGAGGAAACAATGTACAGAAAAATGATAAACTGGTTGAGTGGCCATAGCTGTGAAAAAGCAAGAGATAAAAGGAAGACTAATAATTCACATGAAAATGAAGTGTGTCCTTTAGAGGGTCAGGTATATCCAATTTCTTTTGTACAGATGAAATACAATCAGCTGTTTAGATTTAGAAATCTACTCTTGCTGGTCTTTGTAAGTTGCATGAACATTTGACATTGAAAAAAAATATCTTAAAGACATGGGTAAAAAGCGCAATCTCAACAATGGTAGCCTTTACTACTATATGTGGAAAGAGGTGTTCCTCTTTATCTGATATTTCAATGTGTTAAGATTTTTTTTATATTTTGGTTGTCATTTAAAAAGATGGGACTATTAAAAGATATGAAAGCACGATTTTAGATAACTTAAATGGCCCAGCATATATGAAGTTGATTAAATCTTGATGTCTGTAAAAGATTGCTGTTCTTGGAGTCTTGAGGTCTTGTGAACTGATTTCCTGTTTTCTTTCTTTACATTCTTTATATTTGAGTAAAAATACATTTGTTATATTCCTTTTAGTGTAAGTTTCTATTTGGACAATTTTTCTGGGAACATGTGTATTCTGTATGTGAGCTTTTATCCTATTCCTGTTGTTTTATTAGCAAACCCTAAAGGAATTTCTTTTATGATGTTGTGATGTTGATGCTTTTCTTTTTCTTTTTCTCTTTTATTTCATATTTGCATTTTCTTTCAAGGATATGCTTAGCAATAAAATGTTCTTCCCAAAACCTTGTCTGACGATACAATTTTATTAACGCTTCGAAAAGATCTTTTGCTGCAGCTAAGTATTTTATCACTTATTACAAACCAAATTAGCTTGAAAAACTCTTATATGATATGAAGTGTTCTAACTAGCTACTAATTATTTACATCACTTTATCATGGGTGATCTATTTATGGGATAAATATGTCTTTGTTGCTAACTGAGCACTCCTATTCAGATGGAGAAACCAAGGAGAGGAATGGTGTTTTGGAAAGGTAAGATGTCAGAAGATTTGTATTATGAAAAAGATCATTGCATTCTATATTTTCAAAAGAATTAGGTATCTTTCCGTATTTTCTGAATTCAATAAAATTTGAACACCATTCTAGAACTGCATTTATATAGAGCCTTAGAGAAAGATCCCCTTTTTTGTTGAGATGCAAACCATCACAGATAGGCCTTTTATTTATCCCAATTAAAATTCTGAATTTTAAACAGATTCTTGGGCTGGTAGTTCATATTCATCAGCGTGTTCGATTTGAGTACCAGTCTCCTCACCAGAACTCACCTTCACCATGAATCTCCATGAGCTTTTCCGTTTCAAACTTGGGCTGCTTCAGCATTTTTACTCTTCTAACAAAGACATCATATGTGTGTGCCGGTCATGGGGCTTGAACTCTGGGCCTGGGCACTGTCCCTGAGCTGTTCAGCTCAAGGCTGAGCTCTACCACTTGAGCCACAGGGAAGGAAAGAAAGAGAAAGAAGGAAGCAAGAAAAGAAAGAGAGAGAGAGAGAAAGGAAGGAAGGAAGGAAGGAAGGAAGGAAGGAAGGAAGGAAAGAAAAGTGAAAACAAGAAAGAAAGAGAAAGAAAGAAAGAGGAAAGAAAGGAGAAACAGGAGGAGGAAGGAGGAGGAGGAGGAAGAAGAAGAAAAAGAAGGAGAAGGAGGAGAAGGAGAAGGAGAAGAAGAGAAGCAGAAAAAAAGCAGCTTACAAGTATACAACTCAATGTGTTAGCCTCGTTGGGGAGAAGGAAAATTAATATATATATATAAAATGTCTTTATATTTGATTCATAGACTATACTCTCAACCTTTCCATGAGTTCCTTTTAGAATTCTAAATTCTACACTAAAAAAAGGATTTAAGTAGTTCCCAAGCAATATAGCCAAGTCATGCCCATGGTTTTCTGACTATAACTGACAAACATAAATACAAGTAATAAGTGTTGTGTCAGCCTTTGGTAGTATAAGTACATATGTTAATGCATTTTAAGCAAGTAGCTAAAATGTTGAGATAAATAAAATGAGGATAGATTTGATAAAATGTTAAATTATTCAGAAAAGTTTTAATGCTATACATTCACCAAAATTGAGGTATCATTGGTTAGATATATTAGTACATCAAATACCACAACAGAAATAATTTTCATTGTCATTCCATGATGAAGTATTATGATTATACCATTGTTTTCCAATATGTTTATATTTAGCCATGGGTTTGAGGGTATAAATGCTTAGTAAAAAAATTTGACCCCCCATCCTGGGCCTGTCCTGTACTACCTGTGACACCTTGAGAATGAAATCCAGCAACTCTAGTATCTTGTGTTAAGTCTTCAAAATATCTCCCACTTCTTAGTTGTGGAACTAAATAAGCTAATATGGATATAAGCACTGTGGACAGTATCTAGCTTATGACCTTGAAGCAATTGTGGCTAACACTTTCTTTTTAATCACCTATTGTTGTTGTAGAAAAAAAGGCAAATATCCTCCTAAAAATCTAGGGAAAATACATGCTAGAAATCTGAAGACCATTTTACTCAGCTACAAAAATATCATAACCTTTTATTCCCCTATCCTTGATACCACATCTATTTATTGATTCTCTGAGTTTCTGCTGAGTCTTCTACCAGAACTGTTCATTGTACTTCAACTGACTACTTAAATGCAAAGCCCATAAAAGAAAGTTTAAATAGTATGCTATATCTCAAGAGGAAGCCTGTTTCCTCCCAAATTGCAGAACTGTTTTTGCTTTTGAGACCCTAATATGCACTCTGAATTTCACTTTGTAATATATGTCAATGATCATTTTTCTAATATTTATTTATTTATTCTTTTGGCAACAAAGATTTGAACCTAGAACCTCACATTGCTAGGCAGGTGTTGTATCACTTGGTCCATGAATATCCAGTCCTTGCTTGCTTTAGCTATTTTTTTTAGATAGTATTGCCTAGTTTATTTGTTGAGATTGTGAGAAGGAGATTTTCCAACCACATGTGGGGTATTCTTGAACCATAATCCTAATCTCCACCACCTAAATAATGGGCAGCCAACATGTCCAACCCTCAAGGACCGTTTTATGCATTCACTCTTGATAAACCAACAAACATCAGTACTTGATACACTGGAAATGGGTATGCTGGACCTCATGCTTGCTAAGTCTGCTGTAGCCATGTGCCAATCCCAATAAATATCCTCTGAACAGTTGTGTGTCAGCCTATCTACTATAATCTATTGTTGCTTTGGTTCACTGAATGCCAAAAGTGACTTAGGAATTTAGATCTTTTTTTCCTTTGTGTAGATAGTAGAGACCAGATACTTTTTCTTTAAGTTGGATTTTGATTTTCATCCAAAATATCCACCCTCGATA